TGTCCGCCCGAAACTTGCGGTCTTTTGGCACCAGCCCATCCACTGCCAGATTTTCCGGCACCCGGGCTTGCCTGCAAAGGTTAGTGACCAAAGAAGGGAAAAGGAATCCATACCTTTTGACTGGACAACGGATGAACATCTCCTCATGGATCACTTTGTCCATGTTGAAGTTGTGACCATTGATGAAGCACCAAATCAAGGCCGCTCGGGGCCATTCACTTCCGTAGTGTTGAGGGATGGGATCAGACGATTGTTGATAATATACAACCAGCACTTCCCTTCAAAGGTTAGTGCCGAGGAGTGAAATTTCTCACCATACTTCATCCAGATCACCTCCTTCCCGGGTACACAGATCTTTTCAAAGAACCTCTCCCACTGTGTATGTCCTTCGCCATACCCCTCATAATAGTCATCATAAGGGTCCACAGGAGGGGGCAGTTGGTAGGTCGTCCGTATAGCCTCAACAGAGGCATTCACCGCCTTTTGGCGCACTGTGACTACGCCATTGTCATGCTCCTTTACATTGGCGTAAAACTCTCTAACAACCATTACATTGCCCTCGCCCGGCTCGTTAATGAAAGTTTGCAACCCCCGCCTCACCAGTTCAGTGTACATGTGAGGGAAGTGTAGCTAGACCAATCCTATATCAATACCCTTCTTCGGAATCGGCTTTTTAGAGGCCTTATCCGCAAAGCGGTCCTAAGCCTTGGCGGAGACAAATCTGTTACTATCAAAGGGGCGTGGATGGGCTGCCCCGTGCATCCTGGATGAGCCAGCTTGGCTGCTAGAAGAGGCATCTATGGCGCAGCGTTTCCGAGATGGAGCCATGGTACCTGAAAAATGGGAGCACATTAACACAGCCTAACACAAAATTGTGACGCAATGCGGTTACTCAGAATTCACACGCATAAGTGGTCACAACTACATAATTACGTTCATTGAGGCCTTTCCACAAACATCTTGTGGGCATTTTGCACTCACAACCCATTTCAAGTATTTTACAACATCAACCCACCACAATATCTTCCAAAATCACAAACCAAGTGAAACGACACCCCACCAATCTCACCACTCACAAACACTACAACATATTTTACCAATTCTACTACTCAAAAACAAAGAAAAACAACTACCTAAATGCACACTAAAAACAAAAGAAATTCAAAAAAAAAATAGAAAAAGAAAAGGGCAAAATAGAACAAGGGATTCATACCTGTAGTGATAGAGGGTGGGGAGTAGAGAAGAAAGGTAGAGGGGAATGTGGCTTGTGACTTGGGGAAAATTGAAAAAAAATGGAAATTTGTTAAAGAGGAGAGTTGAAGGAGAAAGGAAAGCGCTGAGGAGAAGGGGCTGGGGAGGATTTTCTGATTTTGTTTGATTTGGGCGGTGGGTTTGGGATTAAAGGGGGGGTTNGATGTGGGCGGAGCTAGCGCGGTCGTCGCGCGATACGAGCGTGGCCCCGCTGGCCCAAGCAGAACACAATGCAATATGCGCGGCCACTAGTGCGATTGCACTAGTAGCACGACCAGTAGTGCATTTAGTAGCGCGAGCGCGCTAATATTTTTGAGCCCAGGCAAAATACTTGCCCATATGCGCAGCCACTAGCGCGATCGCGCTAGTAGCGCGACCGGTAGTGCATTCAATAGCGTGGGCATGTTAATGTTTTGAGCCCAGGCAGAATACTTGCCCATATGCTCAGCTACTAGCATGGCCTGTAGCGCGGGCGTGCTCCTGGGCGAAATTTTTTTCATGTTTTTCACCTGTTCTTACCACTTTCGATGGCCTTATCACCCGCCCATTGTCACCTACATTGGTTAGCACTCACAATTAACAACTACTACTATCGTTGGGTTGCCTCCCGACTAGTGCCTTAGTTAATGTCGTGGCACGACGATTACAACAATTCAATGGGTTGCCTGCCATGCAACGCCTGATTTAACGTCGCGGCACGACGTAGACAAACGCATTTAAGGCTCGCTCGACCTCTGAGGTTCCGTTAGGTGGGTCTCTGACACTTCCTTTGGTTCTTTTATGCCTATGTATAGCTTCAATCTCTACCCATTGACTCTAAACATGTGAGAGTCTTTCTCTGAGGCAATCTCTACAGCCCCTTAAGGGAATACTTCAACCACTCGAAATGGACCAGACCATCGTGACTTAAGCTTACCAAGGAACAGCCGTAACCTTGAGTTATAGAGCAATACCATGTCCCCGGGTTTGAAATCTCGCTCAACAATGTTCTGGTCGTGCAACTTCTTCATTCTTTCCTTGTACAACCTTGTTCTCTCAAAAGCAAGATGTCAGAACTCGTCAAGCTCATGCAATTCAGTGATTCTCGTTGTGCCCGCAACCTCAATGTCTAGGTTCAGCTGCTTCAGTGCCCACCAAGCTTTATGTTCAAGTTCCACTGGCAAGTGGTAGGCCTTCTCGAACACCAATTTATATGGTGACATACCAAATAGTGTTTTAAAAGCAGTTCTATAAGCCCAGAGTGCATCATCTAACTTTTTTGCCCAATCAGTTCTTGTGGCGTTCACTGTCTTGGTGAATACACTCTTTATCTCTCTATTAGACACTTCCACCTGTCCACTTGTCTGCGGATGATACGGAGTTGCCACCTTGTGACACACATCATACTTCGCTAGCAACCTCTCAAAGGCTCGATTACAGAAGTGGGTGCCTCCGTCACTGATAATAGCTCTCAGTGTCCCAAAACGGGTGAATGTGTTCTTCTTCAAAAACCCCACCACTACTCTTGCATCATTAGTGGGAAATGCTACAGCTTCTACCCATTTGGACACATAATCTACAGCAACAAGTATGTACTTATTGCCAAAGGAGTTGACGAAGGGTCCCATGAAGTCAATCCCCCAAACATCAAACACTTCCACCTCTTGAATCGGGTTCATGGGCATCTCATGGCTACAGGAAATGTTCCCGGTTTGCTGACATTCATTGCAACCCTTCACCCATTGGTGCACATCTTTGAATGCTGTTGGCCAAAAGAAACCGGCGTCTAGCACTTTCGCCGCTGTCCTGACTCCTCCAAAATGCCCTTCATACGCCGATACATGACATGCCTGCAAAACAGAAGATTGTTCTATCTCGGGTACACACCTCCGGATCATATTGTCAACACATATTCGAAACAAGTAAGGCTCATCCCAATAATACATGTGGCAGTCACGATAAAACTTTTTATTTTGTACAGAGGAAAGGTCATAGGGAACTATACTGCTGGCCAGGTAATTTGCAAAGTCTGCATACCATGGCACTTCATCAATACTAGTAGCAAGCAGCTGCTCGTCTGGAAAGGTTTCCAAAATATCCTCAACCTCAACTGAGTTTTCAGCTCCCTCAAGTCGTGATACATGGTCAGCGACTTGGTTTTATGTGCCCTTACGGTCACGAATTTTGAGGTCGAATTCTTGCAGTAGCAACACCCAACGAATCAGGCGCGGCTTAGATTCCTTCTTCTCAATCAAGTACCTGAGAGCTGCATGATCAGTGTATACAATTACCTTAGAGCCAATCAGGTACGATCTGAATTTGTCGAAAGCAAACACCACTGCCAACATCTCCTTCTCTGTCACAGTGTAGTTCAACTGGGCTCCACTCAGCGTTCTACTAGCATAGTAGATTGGATGAATTAGCTTGTCTTTCCGCTGTCCCAACACCGCCCCCGCTGCATAGTCACTAGCGTCACACATGAGTTCGAACGGTTGCTCCCAGTCGGGGGAAACAATGATGGGTGCTGTGACTAGCCTCTTTTACAGCTCCTCGAATGCTACCTTGCAATCATAAAAAAACAAGAAGGGGTGATCTTTTTCTAACAATTTACAAAGAGGGTTATCATTTTTTGAGAAGTCTCTTATGAATCGTCGATAGATACTGGCATGCCCGATGAAGCTCCTGATTGCTTTGACTGAAGTTGGAGGGGGCAGCTTTGCTATCACATCCACTTTAGCACGATCCACCTCAATTCCTTTGCTTGACACCCGGTGCCCCAAGACTATGCCCTCTTATACCATGAAATGGCACTTCTCCCAATTAAGAACCAGGTTAGTCTCAATACACCGTTTCAGCACACGCATCAGATTTATTAGGCACTTATCGAATGAATTTCCCACCACTGAGAAATCATCCATGAATACCTCCATTATGTCCTCTACCATATCAGTGAATATGGCCATCATGCACCTTTGAAATGTGACGGGTGCATTGCATAGGCCAAATGGCATCCTCCGAAAGGCATAAATGCCATATGGGCAAGTGAAAGAGGTCTTTTCTCTATCCTCAGGTGCAATGGAGATCTGATTGTAAACTGAGTACCCATCCAGAAAACAGAAGTGTGACCTCCATGCCAGTCTGTCTAGCATCTGATCAATGAAGGGAAATGGGAAGTGGTCCTTCCGGGTGGCCAGATTTAACTTTCTGTAGTCCATGCAAATTCTCTAGCCCATGACGGTTCTCGTCGAGATCAGTTCATTGTTATCATTTTTGACTACCGTCATGCCACTCTTTTTAGGCACACATTGAACCGGGCTAACCCAGTTGCTATCAGAGATTGGGAAAATAATTCCCGCATCTAACCACTTTATCACTTCTTTCTTCACCACTTCCTTCATGTTGGGGTTCAGCCTTCTTTGGTGTTCCCTGAAAGGTTTGTGTCCCTCTTCCAGCAGAAATTTATGCATACAGTAGGCGGGGCTGATCCCTTTTATGTCTGCCATGGTCCACCCAATGGCAGTCTTACACTCCTTGAGTACCTGCAAGAGTTGTTGTGCCTGCATATCTAATAAACTAGATGAGATAATAACAGGTAATATGGAGTCAGGTCCAAGGAACTCATACCTGAGATGGGCGGGCAGTGGCTTCAACTCCAGCTTTGGGGGTTCTTCGATGGATGGCTTGGCTAGAGGAGTTTCTCTATTTTCTAAGTGCAAGGGCTCAAATTCAAGAGTTCTGTCCTAGAACCCTCTGCCCTCTAGTGCCAACACTCATTCTGTCAGTTCTTCTCTATTCACCTTATCTAAATTCATCAGACATGCAGCAAGAGGGTCCTCAATAGTCAGCATCTCATCATCAGTTTCGACAATCACATCCACAACATCAATAAGAGAGCAATTGGCAAATTCACTTGGTCTCCTCATAGATTTATGCACATTGAATGTTATCTCTTCGTCGTTTAATCTCATCTTGAGCTCCCTAGTCTCACAATCAATGAGAGCTCTCCCAGTGGCCAAGAACGGCCTTCACAAAATTATGGGAATTTCTTCATCCACCTTGCAGTCTAAGATCACAAAATCTGCAGGGAACACAAATTTCCCCACCTAAATCAACACATCATCCAACATACCAGAGGGTCTTTTTACATTCCTATCAGCCAGCTGTAATAACATAGAGGTGAGTCTAGCTCTTCCAATCCCAAGCCTCTTATAAATCGCTAGGGGCATAAGATTAATGCTAGCCCCTAGATCACAAAGTGCCTTAGTAAAAGCAAAATTACCAATAGTGTAGGGAATTGTAAAGCTCCCTGGGTCAGATAGCTTTTCCGCAATTGGTCTAGTCACCACTGCACTGCAGGTCTGAGTAAGAGTCGTCGTGGCCAGGTCTTGGAAATCGAATTTTCTGGACATTAAGTCCTTCATCATTTTTGCATACCCAGGCATCTCTTTCAAAGCATTTATCAATGGAATGTTTACTTGGATTTGTTTCAGCATCTCCAAAAATTTCTTGTATTGCTCCTCTTTTTGGTACTTATCTAGCCTTTGAGGGAATGGTGCGAGAGGTCTCTTCTTCCTAATGATTTGGGACTGCTCTTTATCAGCTGCCACCTCAACTACTTATTCCTGGCTATCTCAGCGGTTTTTTTCTCAGTCTCAATCTGAATGTTATGTTCTTCCTGAGCAGGCTGGACTGTCACCTCTGTCAGTTTCGTTGACTCATCTAGCTCAATGGGCACTGGTTTGAGTGTCTCAGCCTTCTTCTTTCTCGAGCCCTCTCTTGCTCCACGTCTAAATCTCTACCATTCCGTAGACTCACTGCCATCAGCTGCTTCGGACCTTGGTCTTTTGGATTTATTTCAGTGTCTGCAGGTAATGTCCCATGAGGACGATTGTTTAGAGACATCGAAATTTGGCCCAACTGTACTTCAATATTCTTAATATCTGAATCATGTGCATCTACTCTTTCACTAATTTTTGCATTAGACACAATAACCTGCTGCATCATTGCCTCAAGTCGAGCAAACCTATCTTCCTGCCGTCAACCATGCTGCTGCTGAGGGGGGTGATACCCCTGCTGCTGATTTTGATTGTTATATCCCTGTGGCCTTGGGTAAGGTGCCATATTGTTAGGAGGTATCATACCTCCCATGTTCCCATTGTTGAACTGTGGCTAGACTGGCCTGTACGGCTGATTTTGCTGGCTCCAATTCTGACCACCCTGTCTCTGGCCTCCATAATTAGACACACAGTTCATGTCTTCAGGGTAGTGATGATGATCATGTTCTGCATTCCATTGGTTACCAATTGGCTGACTAATGCAAGATGTGCACAAGCCTCCATTGGTAGTATCTACGATGTGTACCTACTGATTCTCCCCTGACTCTTCCACCTTTTTGGTGAGTATACTCATCTGTGTCAATATGGTGGCCATATTTTCAGCCATAGAGTTGGATGGATCTAATGGCACTGAGTGAACCACTTGAGTGATAGGTGCATTCCTAGTTGTCCATCCCGAATTCTGTGCCATCTTGTCAAGCAGACTCTGGCCTTCTCTCCATGTTTTGCTTAAAAATGCTCCACCAGCTGAAGCATCAATAATGTTCTTCACGCTATCTGACAATCCCATGTAAAACCGCTGCCCCAACATCAGATCTGGAATACCATGGTGCAGACATATAACCAGCATCCCTTTGAAACGTTCCCATGTTTCATGAAGTGTCTCCATTGGTCTCTGTTTAAAACTCAAAATTTCATCAATTTGTTGAGCAGTCTTGTTGGGTGGGTGGAATTTGTTATGGAATTGCTTGACTAACTCCTCCCAAGTTGTTATGGAATTTATAGGGAGTGAGTTTAGCCAGGTCTGGGCAGCTCCTGTCACTGAGAATGGAAACAATAACAGCTTGATTGCTTCCAGAGTTACGTTGGGCTGCCTTTGGGTTTTGCAGATTGAAAGGAAATTCTTCAAGTGATGTTGAGGATCTTCAACTTGTGACCCCGAAAATAGTCCCTTGTTTTGCAACAAGTGTAGCATGTTATTCGTGATTTGAAATGATTCAGCCTGTATCTGCGGGACTACAATCGTTGTGGCCAGATTTTCAGTTGTGGGCTGTGCCTAGTCATAGAGAGCAGCCTCTGGCACAAGAGGTGACACAGGTGCTATTGGCACTGCTGGGTCTACCACGTTATCCCCCATGTCTAGTTCGATTTGTTCAGTTGTTTGTTGTTGTTTGCTTTTCCGGTTGGCCCGATTCAAGGCCTTGAAAACTTTCTCGGGATCTGATAATGCTTCAAATACTTCACTAGTTCTCGATGACTTTCTAGGCATGCACTTGTACAACCAAGTCAACAAACATTAAAATTTCAATGTAAAGATTGTATATAGAGAAAACTGACTACACTAAGAATTTTTGTACTTCTTTCAATTGTAATTGATAATACCGTTAATTCCCCGGCAACGACGCCAAAGTTGCTCACGCCAAACTATGCCTTATAAAAAAAAGATACGCGGACGTTGCAATTATAATCTGAGTATTTAGCCTAGAGTCGAACCCACAAGGAATTAACCTATCAATTACTCTCGTTAGACTTACTAAATTCCACGGAATCAACTTCCCAAACATTGTAAATAACAATTGAGGGTATTTTTACAAACTACGAATGAATGTAATAAGCAACTGAAAACTAACTAAGATCGAGTTGTAAATAATTAAGAGAAGGTTCTAAGGTTATGATTTCTCCTATTGATGGAATCCCTTTCTATTATGTTTCACATAGATTCACCTAATCGTCTCTATCAATCATGAGCACTCTTATTACCGTAAATCTCTCCCGAGTAATTACAATAATTTACTAGACGCACTCTCTCGAGATACGCGAGCTGGCTTTGGTTATTACAGCTCACTTTAGATTGCACCCAAGACTTCGTTATCCCTAATCCCGCCTTTAAACCCTCAGTTATTGAACCTTCATATACTTTGGGAGTGGTGTTGTTCAATAATTACCTAAATATGCACTCCCTCCCGAGTTATGCATACTAAATAGGTACAGCTAATTGAGGATCCTATCAATTAACTACAACAAGAACGTAGTTGAACAAATAGAGATTAAACCAGGCAAACTATATTAACATAACAAGAAGTTCATCCTTCAATAGGTTCCATCAAAACCTTAGACTAAATATTTAGCTACTCATACTAGGGTTCATCATAACAATATTCAAATTCATCACAAATCGTAAAAACAAAAGAAAGAAAGGAAGAACGCAATGTTGAATTATCCTCCTTGCCTCTTGCCTCCCCTTTTCTTGAACTAAGCTGTGAAAACCTTGATAATTTTCTCTTAGGCGAGCTAGAACTTCTATAGGTTAAGTGGATTTGCCCCCGAACTTCCAATTTTATCCCTGAAATTTACTTTTCCAGAACTGCGCTAGCGCGGTCGCGCTAATGGACACGCTAGTGACCACGCATATGCCCTATCATTCTGTCTAAACCATCTCCCTAGTTGATGCCGCATAACTCGATGACTTTTTCAACATAGGGTCCCACTCCCTAGTTGATGCCGGCATAACCCGATGACCTTTCCAACATAGGGTCCACTCCCTAGTTCATGTTGGTATAGCCCGATAACTTTTCCAACATAGGGTCCCACTCACTATTTGATGTCAGCGTAGCCCGATGACTTTTCCAACATAGGGTCTTACTCCCTAGTTGATGCCAGCTTAACTCGATGACTTTTCCAACAAAGGGTCTCATTACCTAGTTGATGCCGGCATAACCCGATGACTTTTCCAACATAGGGTCCCACACCCTAGTTGATGTCGGCATAACCCGATGACTTTTCCAGCATAGGGTCCCACTCCCTAGTTGATGCCGGCATAACCCGATGACTTTTCCAGCATAGGGTCCCACTCCCTAGTTGATGCCGGCATAACTCTATGACTTTTCCAACACAGGGTCCCACTCCCTAGTTGATTCCTGCATAACCCGATGACTTTTCCAACACAGGGTCCCACTCCCTAGTTGATTCCTGCATAACCCGATGACTTTTCCAACATAGGGTCCCGCTCCCTAGGTGATACCGGCATAATTCGAAGACATTTCCAACATATGGTCTCACTCCTTAGTTGATGCAGGCATAACCCAATGACTTTTCCAACAAAGGGTCCCAGGCATAGGGTCCCATTCCCTAGTTGATGCCGGCAAAACCCGATGACCTTTCCAACATAGGGTCCCACTCCCTAGTTGATGCCGGCATAACCCGATGACTTTTCCAACATAGGGTCCCACTCCCTAGTTGATGCCGGCATAACCCGATGACTTTTCCAACATAGGGTCCCACTCTCTAGTTGATGCCGGCTAACCCGATGACTATTTCAACATAGGGTCGGTTGACTATTTCAACATAGGGTCCCACTCCCTAGTTGATGCCGGCATAACCCGATGACTTTTCCAAAATAGGGTCCCACTCCCTAGTTAATGCCGGCATAACCCGATAACTTTTCCAATGTAGGGTCCGATTCCCTAGTTAATGCATGCATAACCTGATGACTTTTCCAACATAAGGTCCCACTCCCTAGTTGATGCCGGCATAACCCAATGACTTTTCCAACATAGGGTCCCACTCCCTAGTTGATGCCGGTATAACTAGATGACTTTTCCAACATAGAGTCCCACTCCCTAGCTGATGCCGACATAACCCGATGACTTTTCCAACATTGGGTCCCACTCCCTAGTTGATGCCGACATAACCCGATGACTTTTCCAACATAGGGTCCCACTCCCTAGTTAATGCCGGCATAACCCGATGACTTTTCCAATATAGGGTCCCACTCCCTAGTTGATGTCGGCATAACCCGATGACTTTTCCAACATAGGGTCCCACTCCCTAGTTGATGTTGGTATAACCCAGTATAACCCGATGACTTTTCAAACATAGGGTCCCACTCCCTAGTTGATACCGGTATAACCCGATGTCTTTTCCAGCATAGGGTCCCACTCCCTAGTTGATGCCGGCATAACCTGATGACTTTTCCAGCATAGGATCCCACTCCCTATTTGATGTCGGCATAACCCGATGACTTTTCCAACATAGGGTCCCACTCCCTAGTTGATGCCGGCATAACCCGATGACTTTTCCAACATAGGGTCCCACTCCCTAGTTGATGCCGGCATTACCCGATGACTTTTCCAACATAGGGTCCCACTCCTTAGTCGATGCTGGTATAACCCGATGACTTTTCCAACATAGGGTCCCACTCCCTAGTTGATGCCGAAATTACCCGATGACTTTTCCAACATAGGGTCCCACTCCCTAGTTGATGCCGGCATAACCCGATGACTTTTCCAACATAGGATCCAACTCCCTAGTTGATGCCGGTATAACCTGATGACTTTTTCAACATAAGGTCCCACTCCCTAGTTGATGCCGACATAACCCGATGACTT